ATTCATACACAAGATGACATAACCCAGAAACCACAGATATGGACATATCCTAAGTAGAATAAGTTTACAAGATTGCAAAGAGGGAACCAGAGACATCAATTGGCAAGTGAGGATAACTACAAACCAAAAAGAGGGAAAATACTGTGTAGTTACAGAACTTGTAAATGGTGAGGAAATCAAAAGAGTTGCAAGATAGAATGGACTGTTCTAATCTTGGGGAAAAAATTATAAATCACAGGGTAACTTCAAAGAAAAATGACAAACCTTCACATCACAATAAAAAAGAAGACAAGCACAAATATTCAGCAAATACTAAACCAATCGCAACACAGGAAATTATAACACAATTTATAAATATAATGAGCTCACATGGAAAATAATATGGAAAAAAGAAACCAGGGACAATCATGAAAAAACACATAACAAAATGACAGCAACCAATTCATACTTGTCAATAATTACACTGAATGTTAATGGATTAAATGCACCATTCAAGATACGGAGAGTTGCAGATTGGATAAGAAAACAAAACTCATCAATATGCTGTCTACGAGAGACACACCTTAGAGACAAAGACAAAAATTGACTAAAAATCAAAGGTTGAAAAAAGATGTATCAAGCAAATGTAGACCATAAAAGAGCAGGAGTGACAATATTAATTTCTGATCAGATTGACTTTAAGACAAAAACAACCATATGAGACAAGGAAGGACATTGTGTAATGATGAAAGGATCAATTGAACATGAAGATATACCATAATAAATATCTCCGGGCCCAATGAAAGAGCCCCAAAATATATAAATCAGACTTTAAAAGAGTTGAAAAGGCAAATAGATGACTCCACAGTCATAGTGGGAGACTTTAATACACCACTTTCAATCAAAGATGGAACAACTGGGAAGAAGCTCAACAAAGATGCAGAAGAACTAAACAATACATCCCACCAACTTGACCTTCTAGACATCTACAGAGCACTTCACTCCCCAACAGCACAATATACATTCTTCTCCAGTACACATGGAACATTTTCCATGATAGACCATATGTTAGGCCATAAAGAAAGCCTTAATAAATTTAAAAACATTGAAATACTGCAGAGCATCTTCTCAGATCATAATGCTATCAAATTAGAAATCAACAATAGGAAGATCAATGGAAAAAAAGTAAACACATGGAAACTGAACAACACCCTCCTTGAGAAAGACTGGGTAAGAGAAGAAATCAAAATTGAAATTCGAAAAGTCCTTGAATCAAATGAGAATGAAAACACAACATATCAAAATCTTTGGGACGCAACAAAAACAGCGATCAGAGGCCAATTTATAGCAATACATGCACACACCAAAAAAGAAGCAAGAACCAAAATCAACACTTTACACCAACATCTCCAACAATTAGAAAAAGAAGAGCAAGAAAAGCCTACAGTCACCAGAAGAAAGGAAATAATAAAGATTTGAGCAGAAATCAATGAAA